CATGCGCCTCCCCTTCCCGCGCCCCCCTCCCCGCTCTCCCCGTCTGGCATCCCCCCCACCCCGGCTCCTCCATCCTGCCCCTGCACCGTGGCACGTCAGCATCATCTGGGATGCATCAGGCAGGACGCGAGGGGCACGCCGGGGACTGGGGGCCCCTGTGGTTGTGTCCCCCCCACTCCACTTTGTGTTGCCCTGGCCCCCCAAGGTCCCCCTGGCTGGGCAGAGTGTTGCCTGGGGAGGGGGACACAGGGGCTGCCCTGGCTGAGGGGCCCAAGCTGGCAGGACCGGTGTCACCGTGATGGCTGCAGGACACGTGTCTGGATGCCCCGTCAGGGAGAAGCGCTTGCTTGGGCTCACGGTGCAGACGTGGAGGGAGGTTTTGTAAGAGATTGCCCCGGGGTGACCCTCCTTTGGCCAGAGTGGCCCTGGCAGGGGATGCTCCCCTCCCCAGGCACCGCTGCTGGTCGGGGTCCCGGGCTGCGCCGCTGGCCGGCTGCCGGTGCCGATGCTGCTTTAGTGCTTAGCACCGCTGCCCCCCTCACCTGGCAGTGGCGAGGGACAGCCTGTCCTAGATCCTTCCTTAATGCCTTTTCCTCTTGCGTGCTCTGGCCAAAACCCATTCCAGGGACAGTTCCTTCATCACCCCCCCAACCTCATTCCCCTGAAGTTGCAACCTGAGAGCTCATCAAGCAGTGGGGGAGCGGGGGCCGCTCGCCCGGGCTGGTGTCAGTGCCCGAGGGCGGATGTGTGGATCAAGCCCGTGCCACATGGATCGCTCCTGGCTGGATGGGGGGGTCCACGAGGGGCTGAGCTGTCCCCAGTCCCACCATGGGCATGGAGCGGGAGGTTGGTGCAGCTGGGCACGGGCGGCTGCAGTGGATCGGCTGGATAATCAGGATCTGGGACCACGGACAACGCAGATAAATCCAGCCATCGCTCTCAGCAGATGTTTGGGCTCGGGGCTGGCACGGCGGGTGCCAGACTGTTCCCTCCTGAGGACCAGCCTTCTGCCCTGGGGTCCTGGGGTCTGGCTGGGTGCTGAGCCCCCCGCAGCCCCAGCGTCGGCCCCAGCTGTGTCCCCGGCAGCCTGCTGCACCAGCTCTTCCTCCCTCCCCAGTCAAATAAGATCGAGAAAGCGGTGTCCGCTGCCCACACCTTCCTGCAGAAGAACCCCAAGCACGAGATGACCTTGAAGTACCTGAACTATTACAGGACGATGCTGGACGTGGATGAATACCTGGTTGACCTGGAGGCTCAGCCCTACGAGGTGAGGAGGGGACGGGGCTGGGGCGGGGGGGGGGTTCCCCAGAGCTCATTGCATGCCTGGCTGCCACAGCCTGGTCCTGCTGACCCCCAAGGGAAGCGGCCCTCCCTCGCTGAGCCCTGGTTGCTCACCTCCTGCCCCCAAAAGAGCATCTTAGGGCCATGGTTTAGTGGTGGGATGGCAGGGTTAGGTTAACGGTTGGACTCGATGATCTTAAAGGGCTTTTCCAACCTAGACGATTCTATGATTCTATGATCTCCATGGGGCCCATACTGGGGATGGAGCTGCCTTGGGGAGAGCACGGCAGGTTGGCACTGCTGGCGGGCAGAGCGGGGCTGCGGTGCCCGGCAAGGAGGTGAGCGGTGCCTGCTTGGTCCCCGGCAGCCGATATTCGTGCGGTCGGTGAAGCTGTACAACAACGGGGATTTCCGGAGCAGCGCGGCCGACATGGAGCAGGCGCTGGCTGAGTACTACAGAGCGCATGAGGACTGCCTGGCCGGCTGCGAGGGCGCCTACGAGCTGCAGGAGTTCAAGGACTTCTACCCTGCCATCGCAGGTGACCGGGCAGGGGGCTGGGGGCTGCCAGGCTCGTGGTGGGGGGCTGAGGGCCGTGGGGTGCATTGCCTGATGCCTCCCCCCAGACCACTTTGTGAGCGTGCTGCAGTGCAAGGTGGACTGCGAGACCGAGCTCACCCCCAACGTGGGCGGCTGCTTTGTGGAGAAGTTTGTGGCCACCATGTACCACTACCTGCAGTTCGCCTACTACAAGCGTGAGTGCCGGCGGGAGCGGGGGGCTGTGCCTTCGGGGCACCCTGGGGTGCTGCGGGCCCCTGGGTGGGGTGTCACCCCCTGCGTCACCCAGCGCTGCTCCCTGCAGTGAACGACGTGCGGGACGCGGTGCGCAGCGTCTCCAGCTACATGCTCTTCGACCCGGGCGACGCTGTGATGCAGCAGAACCTGGTCTACTACCGCTTCCACCGCGAGCGCTGGCGCCTGCAGGAGGAGGACTTCGAGCCCCGGCCGGTGAGGACCCCCCCAGTCCCCCCTGTCCCACGGCCCTGCTACCACAACCGGACGGCCGCCCAGAAGAAGATGCTGGACTTCGCCATGCAGTACCTGCAAGCTGACGATGAGGTAGACAACGTCCCCGGTGCAGGGTGCATCTGGGTGCTTTTGGGGGGTGCTGGGGTGGTGCGGGTGGGTGCCGTGGATACCCCAAGGTAGGGCCCTTCCTCGGGCAGGAGGTCCGACCACCAAACCAGCCCTGGAGGAGAGGCTGTAGCTCAGGGATGAGCTGCGGGCAGGGCCATCGAGCCCCGCTACCCCCTGCTTGTCCCACGCTGCAGATGGAGGTGGACGGTGGCGAGGGACCGGAGGCGTGGGACCTGCCCTCTGACGGCGAGTTCGAGGGTGAAGGCGACTACGAGGAGGGCTTCTTCGCAGAGTGGTGGCAGGAGCCCAGGACCAAGGGGGACAAAGCCGACGAAGGTTCCTGATGCCAGGGGTGGGGGCTGTGCTGGGGGGGTGGCTGCTGCCAGCGCCCTGGTGCCATCGAGCCCTCCTTGTTTGTAGAGACCCTGTGATGAGCCAGGCGAAGGGGGGCCTGGCCCCGGCAGAGCTGGACAGCGGTGGCCCTGCGATACCATCCCGGGGACGCCGGGCTTCAGGCTCCTGCCAGCTGCTGCACAGAAACTTGGGCTCGTGGGGAAGGGCTGATCCTGCCCGGTGCCCTGCGGCAGGGCTGCCTTTGCCATCTGGACATCTGCTGCCCTGAGCGCAGCCCGATTCCCGTCGGTTGAGCACCGGCACCGCCGAACCTCCCTGCCTGCCCGGGAGCTTGCCCTGGGCCATCCCTGTCCCCAGTGTCCCCAGGAGCCCTGGCCAGCGGTGGTGCCTTGCAGCACTGGGGTAAACCCAGTGTCCTTTTGCTCCTCCCCAGGAGCTGCGGACGGTGCGCTGGGACCGACCCCCGGGTTGTCTTGAGGGGTTCGGGGGGCTGCCCCTGCTCTGGGAGCGATGCATGGTGCTGCCAGAGCTGGGCGTGCGTGCGGGTCCTGTCCCTCCTTCAAGCTCCCCTGGGCTCCTACCCTTGTGCCTCCAGCCTCCCAGCCCACCCCCAGAGCCTGGGGTCCCTTCAGAGCCCAGGGCCTGGTGCTACAAGGGGGGTCCCGGTGTGCCGGCGTCCCCGTGCTGCCGTGTGGCTGCAGCCTGGTGAGGCTGCGTCACCCGTGCCCTGCGTGTGCCTTGAATTTTCGTCACACCAGCCCTCTGTAGCCTTAAGCTCCGTTAATTTAATACTTCCCAACTTGCACAGTCGCTTTT